CACAGCATCGGCCACGGTGCCGCTGGACTGTGACCACCCCAGCACCCAACGGCTTCCCCGGGGAGAGGCTCGCAGCCCGCCCTGCACTGGGGGTCCCACGGGGGCTCTGGAGGGCTGTTGTCCCTTCAGGGAGCTGAGAGTAGCTCAGGTTTGGTTCCTCCCCAGACAAACTTCACATCTGGGGACAAACCCCATTGCCACCCCACCGCACCCCTGACCCACCTGCAAAAGGCTCATCCTACAAACCTAAAAACATGCACAAAAAATCACTGGTGAAAAAAAACCTGCAAAAGCCGCAGGACTGCAGAGCTCACTCCTTCCGAACCACATTTGCAAGCTTCAAGAGCCCTTTGGCACAGGAGGAAGCGTCTCCATGGCCAGCGAGCGCCGTTTGCCACCACAGGCTGCAGAGACTTTGCCTTTGGCTCCAGCATCCCTCGCTGGGGCTGGCGGGTGGGTGGTGGGAGGGATGTGGCACCGGAGCAGGGGGACGCGGGGCGGACGTCAAGCGCTTGCCGCTCCATGGGCAGCGATGGGCGCGGGGACTCAACCGCAACGAAGCCGATGCTGAACCAGAGAGCTACTGAATTTGCAGACCCTGGTCCCAACCCTGCGTGGTTCGGAGCCCTCCCTCGGCTCTTGTCCCCCAAGCTATAAATCACATCTCGATACTTCGAGTCAACTGTCCCAAGGTGAGAGTTCCCAGGTCCCAGCACCCCGGGCACCCACCCTGACGTACAGCTGGGAACCAGCACCCAAACAGTACAGACCATCCATCGACCCCCGTCTCCTTCCCCTAAAAACACCCAAAACGCGAAGCACCCACCAGTCATCACATCACTGACCTTTTCCCAGCCTTTTTCCAAAAATCTCCCCTTTGTTTTGGTTTTATTTTGTATTTCTTTTTCCTCCTGTGCCCTCAAACTCAAGACAATGAACAACGTCTCCACAGCACTGAATACAATGCTGTGCTTTTCCTGCTCGCAGATGTGTATTATTTTTTTTCTATCTCTTTTTTTCCATTCTGTAATTTCAAAACTTCTCTAAGTTTGGAATGATTACACAGCAGCAAAAGTACAAAAGAAAACATTATAAATTTGCCACTCTGTAATTTTTCCAAAGCTGGAGACATTCTGAAAGGTTACAGGATTAGAAAAAAAAAGGGGAAAAAAAGTGTGTGTGTGGGAAGAGTGAATAAATACCCTCCTCAGCATCCCAGGAGCCATCCCGAGATTGGCAAGGATCCTAATTTCAGAATACCAAAATTTTGGCTCCTAAGAATTATCCTTCAGAAATGATGTAGTAGATTTAAAAACAGCCCTCTGAAAAACTAAATTTTTGCATTTTTTGTCAACGCAAGCGGCGTTTTCCCATGAAAGGGAAGGTTTGCCGTCGGGACAGCCTGCTTTTCCTGCGGGAGAATTTCCTCCATCCAAGAAACCTCGGGCGGCCACGCTGCAGGTGCTCCCCGCCACCACCAAGGTGCGAGAGATTTCATTTCCAAGCCAAGCGAAGAGAAGATTTTTTTAAAAAAAGAATCCTATTGCTGTTCCCATCCCTATCTGCTCTTGCAGACTCCTCGCTGGGGTGTGCCCTGCTCATTCCCCTGCTCGTGGGGACCTTTTGAAGGCCAGGTCCCAAATCCAGGTGGGGTTTTTTGGGGGGGTTTGCCAGCCAGGACCCCCGGCAGACCTCCACCCCTACAGCCTCTCACTCCCCTTCTTGGACCAATAATCAAAGACGCTCTTTTTCACCGAAAGTTGCCTGAAACGGGCCCAAACCGGACGGCACAGACGGGCAGATCGTGCCCCAAATCCCCAGAACCAGGGGATTTTGCACCAGGCAGGGAATTTAATTTTGATGAAGACGCCAAGTCCCGTCGGGGACCCCCGGTCTCGCCCACACCAGGCGGTCCCCGCTCCCCACCCAGCCCCACCTCCCCATCCCACCACGCTTTGGGGCTAATTAGGGCTCATCAGAGGGCGAGAGCGTCCTCGGCATCGCCGTCACACCGTGCCGGGGGGTTTGCGGCGAAGGGCAGGAGGCTGCGGAGCTCGCCCCGCGCCTCGGGCGATGTTTTTTATTCCGTTGTGGGTGGGATTTTCCAGCGCTGGCTGTTGGGCCCCGTTCCGCTCCAGCTGCAGCTTTATTCTCCATTTCAAAGGCAGCGGAGGCAGACAGTTTCAACGCCACTGCCATTTCGAGCGTGCCAAAAGCGGGGGGACCGCCAACCCCCCGGGACCGGTACGCGCACCCACTGGGGAGGCGAAGGGCTTTGACCGAGGCCATTGGGGGAGGCAGTGGCAGAGCCCGCAGGCACCCAGGTCCCACGCTTGCACCCTGCCCTGCGGCGTCACACTGCCCGCGATACATGACGGCGAGTGGGGGGATAAAGCAACAGCTCGTATATTTTTAGAGCCTGGATTGAGGCTCTTTCCTCACTTCCTTATTTTGTTTTTAAAAAATAAAGAATAAAAGATGGGATTATCCATAGGCTGAAGGTCCCAATAAATTAGACAACGGGGCCGAGATAGGGCAGCAAAAACTTGCCAGGAAACCCCTAAACAAACAAAACCACCATCCTTTTTCTCTCTTCTGCAAATGCTTCAGCTTTTTCTTTCAAATTAATTTTATTCTTTATTTTTATATAGGCATATATATTTTCAGCC